TAAACAGCCATCAAGCTCTATTTAACAAAATTAAGAACATACCTAACAGAAAATTACACACAAGCCTCAACAAATAAATATATTGATGCTTTACCTTAATTACAGCATTCATTATTAATCAGGAGACCCACTTTCCATTTCTCAAACAAATCAGCAATGGTCTGCAAGGATTTTCCATGCTTTGCTTAAATAAACGAGTTTGGCGTAGTATGCAAACAATGTGCCATTCACTCCCCAGTCCACCTATGGGAACTATGCTTTGAAAAGAGCTTGTTTTGTTTTCTTTGCTTTTGTGCGGTCATTAAAAATAACATATTTATACATATATACACTTTTATAGCCTATAACAGTGTAGCCCCACCCACAGCTCATTTACACACTTCAGTCTTAAAGACAAAGCCTGTTTATTATTATTAATGAATAATATATTATTATTAATGAATAATAATGAGTTCGGAAAATGGTCATGTGAAAATTAATCTTGACTGTTTTTGGTATATATAAATAAAACTGCTCAAATCTAATAGAGTGTTAAGATGGAGACTTAATGAACTAGCATTAGCACTGTGCTGCGTTTGAAGGGAATGTTTTAACTACTACTGATGACCACTGCCTAATCCTGCTGGGCTTGATTGAGCCCACTATAAAAAGGAATTCCCACTGAACACATGCAAATTAAAGCCCCCCGGTCCCAACTCAGCAAAGCAAACACTCTGGGTCATCACACATGCAGAATTGATCATGCATTGATTAACATGGTTAAATATTTTGATATTTAAGCCACTCAGTCTGTAAGCAACTTCCATTACTTATGCATGGTAATTTATATAAAAAAAACAGTCATAGCACAGGCATAATGTCTTCTACATTAGACTGTTTATGATGATTAAAAAAATATAGGCTATGGACAGCTGACCATTTCGCTTTCCCCCTAGATTAGCTTTAAATAGGGCTCGTTCAACATGAAGACGGTCTAAAATTAGGTTTGTGGTGCCACAGTGCTTAATATAATGCTTTCATATATGAAACCGGGACATGGGTCCATGGAGAGAAATCGAGGAGGGTAACATTGAGCATTAAATCCTACATAAAACAGCTCATCTTTTCACACTGTTCGAAGAAAAAAGGGGGGAAAATCACTCTCGGTTTCAGGCAACCTCAAAGAGGCTCATGAAAATCCCTACTGAAGAGGCTGATGACAAAGAACAGGATGCTAAGCCAAGAATATGCTCAGTGCCAAAGCCAAATATATATATATGTATATATATATATATATATATATATATATATATATATATATTTTAAACATGTCTTCTGAGTGTGTAGCTGCAGTAATGCCAAGTTGTTTTGCCTCTTCATTATAAAATCCATAGAACAGCACAAAGCAAGTTCTTTGTTGTCCAGAGAAGCACCTGCCACATCTCAGTAATGAGACTGTTCTGAGTCTAACCTTTACATTCAAACAACGCAGAGAAAATACCAGCTCCAGAGTGCTGTGGTTGCAGACCAGCTCAGTTTAAAGGTTCTGTCCACTCTACAGAGCCACTGATGATTTCATCCCTTGTAGAATGGCTACAAAGTACTTTTAAAAATATATCTCCAAAATGGTCACTTTACAGGAGAAGGCAAACATGTTCTTAACTTTTAATTTAACGAAAATAAATTACATTTGATGTGAAAAGCATTTCTATAGGTGAATGAATCATGACATTTCAAGTCCTTTGTGCAAATTATGTAGAAAAATGAAAAAATTAGATTTTTTAAATTTATATATACTTTATATATTTATTATTACATTATTGGAAAGCGACAATATGGGTAATAGTAACAGTTAGTTCTGACAACAACACACACACACACACACACACACACACACACACACACACACACACATATATACATATATATATATATATATATATATAGAGAGAGAGAGAGAGAGATAGAATAGATATGGAACTATGCACATACTATGGTACTACACATATACATGTACACATAGTACACATTATACATAAAATGATTCTATATATATAAAACCATGAACACTCAAAGAACCCTTTGCATGATTAAAGGGGTCTTTGCATCATGAAAGGTTTCTTCAGACTGATGGAGAATGTGCTGTAGAGGGTTCTTTTTGAAAAGAGTTCTACATAGCACTAAAAATGGTTCTTCTATTGTACCAAGACTGACATCATAACAATAGAAGAACCCTTTTTGGTGCTGGATAGAACCCTTTTCAAAACGGTTCTATATTGAACCATCTACAGCACATTCTCCATCTGTCTGAAGAACAAAGGGCTCTTTGAGTGTTCATGGTTTTATGTAGAATCATTCTCTTTACTAAAGAACCCTTGAAGAGCCATCATTTATAAGTGTGTAGTATACACATTTATATGTATAGTATTATATACCTAGTGTCACTGTCATAACAAAAACTTCCAAAACAGCAACTTTATAGGAGGTGGCAAAAAAACTTTCTTTTAACTAGTAATTTTAGACCATTTCTTTCCCCTTCTGTGGGACTAATAAAGGATAATCTTTTCAGTCCATTCATTATGAAATGTTCACACAATGTAAAGGGCGACTGATTAGATCTGCAGTTAAGCCTTGATATGACATATACACATATACTATTGTATAACTATAGTCTACATATAACTATAGGAGCACATTTTCTGAACTAATTGGTCAGCTAAGCCTTGTTCACTATCAATCATCTTATCTCAAACTTTCACCCTTTGACACGCGTCGCAACTGGACCAGATCAAACGTCTGGACATTCGCTGCCCAGCGGGCTGGAAAGGAGCATTCAGCGACAGCTGTAAAAGCACAGTGCCATCTAGGGGTTTTGTTACGTGGAAAAAACAGCGCATCCACCTCTCATTTACAGTCCTCCTGGGAAATTCAAAATGAGCTCATGAAGTGAGAGTACTGCAGTAATGTAGAAATCTGAACTAGCAAAATTCAAAAAGCCATTGATTCATCTGTCCAGTCAACTGATTCTTCAATATCAGTTCAGAGACTGACACATTCCTTTGGCTTGGTATTCAGTAACATCTACAAAAACCACGGTCTCCACATACTGACATCTGGAAATATGAGTGGTTGTGTAAACATTATAAAACAACGTATATGTCGTTAAGATAACAGATTACGTGTATACAGATTACGTGTATACAGATTACGTGTATACAGATTACTAACGTGTATACAACGATACAGGACCGGACGCATAGAAACCTGTTGGTTTGAATATGATTTACTTCAGTGTAGCACAGAATAGCTGGACAACAGCTGGACAAAACCCAACACACAATCTTCGACAGAGTCTTCATCACATTTTTAAAAAAGCAAACAAGCTCCTGAGCTGGACTTTTATTCTCTGTTACAGGCTAAAGCTCAGCATGAGCTGAAAGCACAGCGTGAGCCAGCTAGAGGGGAATGAAAGACATCTTCACGTATTGATCAGCTTCAAATCTCCATTATGTAAAGGGACCTGTTGATACGCAGTGAGAATAATGAGAGTGAGGAAACTGGCAGATTAATTCTATCCAAAGGAGGAAAAGAGCCATGAGCAATAGGCAAGACAAACTGAGGAGGGATCACTGATCCTTAGCAGAATGACAATACAAGAACCCAAAATACGGTATTAGTGTATTAGTTTTGTCTAGTATAGCTTTCCATTTATATAGCTTATCCATTGTATATCATTTTGCCTTTATTCCTATCATATTCCTAGTTTATCTACTAGTTTTGTGTCACAAAACATGCAAGATCTTTTCTTAGAATATACCTTTTTACAGAATATCACTTTTCCTTGCATATAGAACTTCAAATTTATAGCTTTTCATAGCATATAATATCGCCTAATATATTGCTTTTCCTAGCTTTTCCCAGTATGTAGAGTTGCCAACATAAACCTTCTCCACGCATCCAGAATTTCCAATGTATAGCTTTTTATGGTATATAACATATAGCTCTTTTCATGCCACATAGCTTTTCCTAGCATGTAGAATTTCTAATGTATTCCTTTTATAGCATGTATCGTTTCCTAGTGTACATAATTTCCAAACTATAGCTTTTCTTACCATATAGAATTCTTTAATGTATAGCTTTTTATAGCATGTATTGTTTACTAGTATACAGAATTTCTAATGTATAGCTTTTTATAGCATGTATTGTTTTCTAGCATACATCATTTCCAAACTATAGCTGGTTTTACCGTATAGAATTTCTAATGTATAGATTTTTAAAGCATGTATTGTTTACTAGTATAAGGAATCTCCAAAGTATAGCTTTTCTTACCAGATAGAATTGATAATATATAGATTTCTGTATCATGTATTATTTCCTAATATATACAATTTTAATATATACTCTTATTTCTCTACATATCACTTGTATGTGATATGCACTGAATCTTTTTTGTTACTGCACCGCTGTAATTTTCTTCACATTTCTATCTATCTATCTATCTATCTATCTATCTATCTATCTATCTATCTATTGATTGAGCCATTCACACACTCTTCTGCTCATATGTTTATGATTAAAGCTGGTTAGAACTGGGCTGTGGTCATTTTCTCACTCTCTCTAGCACTGACCGCGTTAACAAGCTCTATCATGCTCAACAGTACAAATGCCTTTTGCTCTTTTTTGTCTCTCACTAAGAACTTCCCTCTCTATGACATCCCCTCCAGCTTTGCAAAAAAGCAAAAAAGCCCCCCAGCAAGCGCAGATCACAGCTTTTGATCTGTGCAGAAAGCCAGAGAGCTCACAGCCACAGCGTTTCATATAAAAGCATCGCACTCTTGTGCAGTTATGACTTATTTCGATGCATTTGCAGGGCTGAGGGGGGTGAACACAATCCCAATACAGACTGACCTCAAATAAAATGCAGTATTTTCAGTTCGCCCGTGAAAAAGCCCATTTGGCGAATTTGTTTGGAGTGAATGAATCAGCGTGGCTGCTGGGAAAGGAAGGTAGAGCGCACTTACAGCAGTTCGTCACGGCGAAGCTGTTCGCCACTTCCAGATTGTCGATGTGTGGAGTGAGTCGGAACTCAGTCGTGGCGAACTGAACCATGCCTATCCGGAATGCACTGTACTCCTGATCCGCTCCTCTGGGAAACAAGCCACCTGCATGACACACACACACACACACACACACACACACACACACACACACACACACGGAGAGAACGGCGTTTAGCTCTTCGGAACGCGCTGAAGGAACGCGCTGCGTAACCGGATCGCCATTAACCGAAGCGCATCTCGGCTCTCCGTGGATGTGGAAGCGTCCACACGTACCTATCTGCACACTGGGAGACCCTCCGAGGGCGAGTCCCCAGAAAAGCGCGTGGAAAAGCAGCGCGAGGCTCTTTATCTGTTGCATCTCCGTATGTTTGAGCGCTCATCCACCCTGCAGGAGAACGGTCCTGGTCGAGGCGCGCACAAACTCCGCCTGTTAAATCCGCAGCATGCTGGAGGCGCGAGGAGCTTTTTTTTAGCTTTGTGGTTTTTTTTTTTCCTCTCTGGTTTCTGCAGGTAGCTCCTCGCTTCAGCGCCTCGGGCTCGTGCTCTGGAGGAAGGATGGAATGCAGCTCTGCTGTCCTCCTCTCCCTCCGTCTCTTTTTTTCCTCTCTCTCCTCCTCCTCCTCCTCCTCTTCCTGCTGCCTCGCGATGCTGTTCCCTCCTATGAGCTGATACCTTTTCTAATGAAGAGGAGCGCGCGCTACACCACACGGCTGCGCGCGGGAGACGCCAAGCCCCTCCCACACCCTTCTATTCTACATCCCTCCATCCGTATCTCTTTATTTTACACTTCTCTACCCACATCTCTCTATTCGACACTCCTCCACCCACATCTCTCTATTCTACACTATTCAACCCACATCCTTCCATTCTACACTCCTCCATCCACATCCCTCTATTCTACACTTCTTCACCCACATCTTTCTATTCTACACTCCTCCATCCACATCCCTCTATTCTACACTTCTCCACCCACATCCTTCTATTCTACACTCCTCCATCCACATCTTTCTATTCTACACTCCTCCATCTACATCTCTCTATTCTACACTCCTCCATCCTCATCCCTCCCTTTTACACTCCTCCATCCTCATCCCTCTATTCTACACTCCTTCATCCACATCCCTCTATTCTATGCTCCTCCATCTACATCTCTCTATTCTACACTCCTCCATCCTCATCCCTCCCTTTTACACTCCTCCATCCTCATCCCTCTATTCTACACTCCTTCATCCACATCCCTCTATTCTACCCTCCTCCATCCATATCCCTCTATTTTACACTCCTCCACCTACATCCCTCTATTCTACTTTCCTCCACCCACATCCCTCTATCCTACATCCCTCCACCCACATCCTTCTACTCTACACACCTTCATCCACATCCTTCTATTCTACACTCCTCCATCTACATCTCTCTATTCTACACTACTCGACCTACATCCATCTATTCTGCACTCCTCCATCCACATCCCTCTATTTTGCACTCCTCCATCCACATCTCTCTATTCTGCATTCCTCCATCCACACCTCTCTATTCTACACTTCTCCACTCACATCCTTCCATTCTACACCCCTACACCCACATCTTTATTCTACTTTCCTCCACCCACATCCCTCCATTTTACTCTCCTTCACCCACATCCCTCAATTCTACATTCCTCCACCCACATCTTTCTATTCTACATTGCTGCACCTACATCCCTCTATTCTACACTCCTCTGCCCACAGCCCTCTATTCTACACTGCTCCACCTACATCCCTCTATTCTACACTCCTCTGCCCACAGCCCTCTATTCTACACTCCTCTGCCCACAGCCCTCTATTCTACACTGCTCCACCTACATCCCTCTATTCTACACTCCTCTGCCCACAGCCCTCTATTCTACACTGCTCCACCTACATCCCTCTATTCTACACTCCTCTGCCCACAGCCCTCTATTCTACAGTCCTCCATCCACATCCCTCCATTCTGTACTCCTCCACCCACATCCCTCTACTCCACACTCCTCTGTCCACATCCTTCTATTCTACACTCCTCTATCCATATCACTCTATTTTATATTCCTCCACCCACATCCCTCTATTCTACTTTCCTCCAACCACACTTCTTTCTATTCTACACTCTTTCGCCCACATCCCTCTACTCTTCACTTTTCCACCCACATCTTTCTATTCTACACTCCTACACCCACATCTTTATTCTACATTCCTCCACCCACATGCCTCCATTCTACACTCCTTAACCCACATCACTCAATTCTACCTCCCTCCACCCACATTCCTCTATTCTGCACTCCTCCATCCACATCCCTCCATCTTACTCCTTCATCCACAACCCTCTACACTACACCCCTCCACCCACATCCTTCCATTCTACACTTCTCTACCAACATCCCACTACACCTTCTTCTACTATTCTACTCTCCTCCATTGAATTCCTTCCATCCTCCACCTACACCTCTCTATTGTGTACACTAATGTTCAGAAGTACAAACCTGAATGTGAAAACTCAGTAATTAGTGAAACGCTGCTGATAACCAGGCTTCATTCCTACAGAACGTGTTCACATTTACTGGGAGAACATTTTCTCACACAGTGTAAATCAGGTGATCATGTGTAATGAAATTGTCCGGCAAAAATATGATTATAAAAAGGGAATTATTTAAGACCTCAGAAAGAATTGATCATTTATCATAAATGATCACAAAATTGCACACAATAAACATCAGATTTTGAAAGTTTCTCCTTTCTCACATTGAGTCAGTCTCTCAGCAGATTTCAGCACCATGGACAGAGCTGTACATTCTACAGCAAAGGGCTATACTACATCCTTCATCTGCTATTCATCATCATTGCTTACTGAATAGTTTGTACCTGGCCACTTTATTAGAAACCCCTACCTTACAGCTCCACCATGTAGGTCTACAACTACAGACTGTATTTGTTGCTACACAGGCTACCAGCCTCTCTCTGCCCCATTCATCATTGGTCAGATTCTGACCACAGGACCACTGTTGTCCACATATTATATGAGTGGTGGACCATTGACACTGACACTGTTTTCTCTCCACCATTGATATGTTTTAAAAATACATTTTTACACTAAAACCTTCTCAAAACTATCATAAAACAATGTCTCCCACATCAGGCAGTGCGATCATAACCATTTCATGTAATAACTTGTACATGTTTTTAGAGGTGGACGTCTGGTTCCTATCACCACCACTGTGAACAATTCTGACTCTGAGCATTTCACACCAAACCATGCTGAATGACTCTGTTTACATCTTAACATGTTCAAATTCTGAAAAATTCAGCAGAATTCCCCTCGACACAAATGTGTACACAATTTCCACATGAATAAATTATATTGCATCCAATTAAACTGCAAGATAAAAGTGTGTTTTATTCATGTGGAAATGACGTATGCAATTCAATACTGCATGTTTTTTAGTGTGTGTTTACATAAACAATACATAGTACTCTCTCTGAATAAAGAACATAGTAATAATAAGATTTTATTTATATAGAACTTTTCATTTACATTACAAAAAGTACTACACAGGAAAATAATTAAAACACTGGAACGATAAAAACATTGTGCTATAAACAAAAAAGCACATTTGCAGACCTCTGAAGAAAATGAGCCACAATACATCTATGATAGCCTAATAAAATATGTTTTTAAAGCTTGCATTCTATGAAATGCTATTCAGGAGGTGCTTTGGGTGATTCTACTGAATTGGTTCAAAGTCAGAGCTGAAAACGGACTTGGGACTTTTAACTGATCTTAGACTTCAGACTACAATCCTTTTGCTTTCAGTGACCCTTTACCTTAATTATGTTTATTTTATTAAAACTAATGTTTGGATATTCCATTTTGTCACTGCCAAAACAAAATGTTCTGGTAGTGACAATTTTAGCTCATTTTGAGCAGCACTTACAAACACAACCAGTACATTACCAGCAAACTCAGCTTTGAACAGATGTACACAGAGGAAATCATCATAGTTTTTAATTAAAACAAAAAAGTTCTTAACTGCAGAAAATATGTCAATTCTTAATGTTCCACACTGATTTTCAGACTTTAGGACACTCTGTGTGTTTTTGTAGCAACATGAAATCATAGGACAGCATTTCGTTGCTGCTACCGGGACAAAACCTCATCTCCATTTTTATCATTTTTCAGTTTTTGACATAATTTAAAAAATTACTGCGTGCAAATGTCACAATGAATGAACCAAATGAAATGGCCCAAAATTACTTGGAAAAAAAGTCTGGTTCCATTGACTTACATTAAAGTAGAGAAGGTTTTTTTTCTTCTCCTGTAAAGTTAGCGTTTTAGATATACAAGGTTTTGCTCCGACAACAGCGATTTTCTAAATATATATTTTTTGATTGAACTTTAAATAGACCAGAGAATCTTTGTAAAGTCTAGATTTTTTGTTTGTTTGTTTGTTTTGTTTTGTTTTTTTCTTCACTGTGGGACCACAGTTCAAACTAATTCGATAGAACTGTCCATGTAAGAAACTGATCTTCCACCAGCTGAGCAGTAAGAGATAGTAATATTTTGCAGTGTGGCTGCCTCAACTGAGTGAAGTAATCTAGACAAGCTAAAACACTTCAGTCAGTGAGATACAAGAGCTCTGCCATTTAAATGTCATAGGCAAGACATTAAAGTCAGCAGAGGACATAACGTAACAGGAAGCCAGTGATTGACAGATTAAGAACAGATACACTCAAACTTTCTTTTCCTGTTGAGCACACGGGCTGCCGCATTCTGAACTAGTTGGAGCTAATTTAATTTAATCCTGTCTCTCTCTTGCTCTCTCTCTCTCTCTCTCTCTCTCTCTCTCTCTGTCTCTCTCTCTGATCTGCCCTAAAAGTGTTGTTAAACTGTTCCGTTCTTGCCCCACACGTCTCTGTGTAAACGTTGGCTCAGCACTCCAATGGTTAGGAAGCCAAAAAGTGAAAGAGCGGAACAAAAGCTGAACTGCTGCCAGAGTTTATGGGCCAAAGCACAGAGCAGAGCTTCACTCCAGTTCAGAAAGGAAATGGAAAACTTAATATTTGATGATGAAAGATGACAGTTTGTTTTCTTTAATGGGAGACGAGAAGGAGGCAGAAACCCAAGAAAGGAGCTGTATATGTTTGTTTGCTTTTTGTCTCCTCAGATCTGTGAGACTTATGCCAGCCTGCAACTTAAAAAGTCTACTGAACAGAAAATGAGCACAACATAACTTTTAGCTATATTTTGAGTAGACAGATATACAGTCATGTGCAAATTTGTGGCCAAAATGTGGCCTGTGCAAAAAAATTTGGAAGTTAACAAATTGTTGTGATGGCTGGCAGCTCCTGGAGAAATCTGGAACCAAATTTGAGTTCTTCTAACTAGCTTTTACTGTTTTTACTGCATTAAAATGTGATTGGATTTATTCTAATGTTAAATGGTGCTTTAGAAGCACAAACACACTTATTGTCCATATAAATCATTTTAAACAGTTTGCTTAGGTGACCTGCACAGTACTGTATGTAGAACAGCCTGTTTTTGCTGCTTAGTTTTCATGTATGGACTGTATGGACTGGGCAGTGGACAATTAATAATCCAGTCATATTCTTAGACCAGATTAAGGCCTAAAAATCTATTTAATAAATCTGATAAAGAGGCTGGATTTGAGCCCAGTAATGGGGGTTTTCAGTGCATGCAAACCCTTACTCTGATTTCTTTCATTTATCTCAGTCTGTGCATGTGTGAAAACAGAGCACAGCAAGCAGTGTTTAACACAGCACCCATGAGATGTAACGCAATACTTTTAAAGTGATGCTGAAACCAAATACATGCTTGATAAAATAGGTTTAAATATTCTTCATTTTCTAGATGATGTTTGGTTATTTTCTCTGCTAAAATAACTTGATGTATTAAAAAAGCTGTGGCATGACATTTGAGTTTTGTGCTACATTCACATTGCGTCTTCTTCTGTGAGATTATTGGACATTAGCAAAGCAGAAGTGTGATTACTGACTAATTCATGTAGACCCAGAGTTTCGCCATTGTCTGATTACTCAAGAGCATGAAAACACACTAAACTAGTTACTCACTTAATCTGATTTTCTACAGTTATTAGATTATTAAGCGCATGTATAACATAAAATCTATCAGGATTTAATTTGTCCATTCTACATCTGTGCATCAGCTGTCAGTTTGACTCTTCCATCCTTGCAATATTAATCCAAACAGCTACACAAACTCACCTTAGCTGCCCTGAAAACTTCTTTCTCATGTTCATCTAAAGTGACTAAAGCATACATAAAAGCATGTGTTGTATTTCAGTTCAGAATAGAATATTCAGTTTAATGCACAGCTGAAAATAATCCACTTGCATAAGGATGGAGAAAGTCAAAGTTCCAAAACTAGAGTTCAAAAAAGATAAAATTCTACAGAGAAAATGGGGTTCCTAACAACCACCTGGAAGACCTGGTAGACACCAAAACTGCCTCCATCAGATAAACAGCACTTAAAGCTTTCATCTTTGAGAGAGAGGAGAAAATCAAGCTGCTTCAGATCTGAAAACATCCACAGGTGTTTCTGTCCATCCTTCCACTGTGATAAGACAACTCAGCACTATGGGTCTGAAAGGATGTGTAGCTGTCAAGAAGCCTCACTGAGAAAAGGAAACAGACAAATTAAACAAAGAATAATGCTGAACAATGGACCGACCACCCCAGAGTCCAGACCTCAACATCACTGAATGTGTTTGGATTACTTTAGAAAATGATCAACCAACTTCTAAGACTGAACTTTGGAGCAACTGAAAGTTGGTCTTCTAGAAAGAATTAAAGCTATAATAAACTTACACTGTAAAAACATGGTTTGTCAGTTGAACCTAAAAAAATACTTTATGTGGTAACAATTAACTAGTTTTATTCAAATTAACGATTCTTTCAATAAAAGTTACTGCATAAAGCATTTTTTTTTCAAACCATTATTTTACAGTGTGAAGCATGGACACACTGAATATAGAAGCATTTAAAAGACTGAAACTGAAATACTAAAATACTCAAAAAGTAATATTTAGTAATACTTTTTTGTTTTCTTTTTTTTTTTTTAAACTTTTTGCTGACACATAAAAACAAATAGCTTGTACTTAATGACTGTTTTGACTGGACATTGAGTAAATAAAATGGTGCTCTCCAAACGTTTACCACACTGTTATTATACTCCATCAAGCAGACTTGTATATTTTATTACATATGCTTTATTGTGATTGTGCCAAGAGATCAGTCTAATTTGTGCAATGAGTACAGAAATTGAACTTGTCTTATGGTCTCTATTGTTATGTCTCATTTAAAAGCTTCATCATAATGGACTGCAGTGTTTAACCTTTAAATG